GCTCCTCGGGACCCCCCGTGGCGGCTGCAAGACAAGCAGACCATGCCGACCTACCAAGCGTCCCTGCTGAGGTACTTCCGGGCCTCGGGGGACGGCCAGCCATACCCGACCTCGAGGGGGCGGTCGGCCAGGCCAGCCCCTCGCGAGGAGAGCGCTCCCCCGTGTCACGGCCCGATCCGCTCCAAATCAGCGGTAACTTTTCGCGAGGGCCCCTCGGCGAGGGCAACGACCACGACGCCGGCTGAATCGCGAGCGGTGGCATTATCATCGCCAGCGAGCTGGCCAAACGAACATCGAGAACTTCAAGATCGCCACGGCGAATGTCCAGACACTGGATCCGCATGAATCCCGGCAGCTGCACCGATTGGGGCAGGCGCACTCGGCCCGCACCCTCGTCATGGACGATTTCTTCCATGCGCACGGCATCCAGCTCGTGGCCGTCCAGGAGGGCCGCATCGAGGGCAACCGGTGCATCGACCTCCCGCATTACTTCATCTTCACGTCCTCGGCGACCGCAGACGGCCAGGGCGGCACGCAGATCTGGCTTCATAGGTCCCTCCAAAATCTCCTCTCCAGCATAAGATGCCATCCCAGGAGCGCCAGGATCCTGCGCCTGGAATCTTCCAGGCTTGGGCTGGCCTTCTCGGCCGTCAGCGCCCATGCTCCAACGGCGGTGGCCCCCTATGAGGAGAGGCAGGCTTTTTGGACAGAGCTCGAAACCGAACGAGGCAAGGTAAACCATCCGAGCAGGCTCCCTGTTTTCATCGACGCTCTAACGACGACGACGGCGCCAAGGGCTGCAATGCCAATGGCTGTTGCTCCGCGGAACTCAAGGAGGCCTTCGCCTTGACAGACGTCGCAGAGTGGCATGATTGCACCGAGCCGACGCGGTTCGGCAACTCCCTCTTCCCGAAGCGCTCTGACCATATATGGGTCACGGATTGGTGGCTCTGGAAGTCCGTCGCCGCGGGAGTGGAGCAGGACCCCATGGTCTTCACCACTAGGGACGACCACCACATGGTCTGGGCGAGCATGCCGGGGGACAAGCGACCGCCTCGCGGACCCCCAAAACGGCGCCTGGACGATCTCAAACTTCGCGATCCTGACCGGCGTGACGCCTTTGCAGCCGATCTCCGAGACGCAGCTCCTGCCCTACACGCGCTGCTCCCTGAGGGCCCCGAGGTATATCACGCCGAACTCATCCGGGTCGTTCAGAGGCTGCAGGAGGCGCACTTCTTCTCTGAGGCCACGCAGGTAGCGCGAAAGCCATGGATCTCCCAGACCACCTGGCAGTTGGTCATGCAGACACCGCGGATTCGTCAGCGGACGGTTCGGGCCATCTGAGCCACCAGGGAGGCGAAGCTCCGTTATTTCTTGCAGGCCTGGCAGCACTCCCTCACGAACGATAGCGAGAGCCTCCGCCTCCAGCGCAGGCACATCCAGCAAAGCTTGCAGTCCGAGGCCGCCCACGTCCAGCAGCTGGTGCGCCACCGCAACCAGGTAAGATCAGCGTCAAGAGCCGATCGCCAGCAGTGAGCTGACCACCTCGCCGCAAGGACGCAGGGGGCAGACGACCGGCACGATAACAAGACCCTCCACGAGATCACGCGTGAGATTCGCGCACCTCGGGGGCAGCGTGCGCTCCGCGCCGTGCGTCATGAGGATGGCCCACTCCTTCGTGACCCCCAGGACATATTGGACCGATGGCGCCGGCATTGGGCCGAACTGTTTGCGGGACCGGTCATTTCCATGGACAAGTCGCTCGCCAACCCCCCAAGGGTCCCAGTGCCTCCCGAGGGGATATCCATGGAGCGCGCCCGCGTCAAGGCGGACATGTGGAGACCTGACCCCAAGAAAGGCTTGGGCCCCGATGGCATCGGCATCTCGGTATGGCGTGCCGGCGACGAGGCGTCGCTCGACGCGTTTCTGTCGCTGTTCAACCTCTCTGCTTCTCGATGCCAGCTCCCAGTCAGCATGAGGGGGACAAAATCTTCGACATCTGGAAGCGCAAGGGCGATATCTTCTTGCCCCCGCAGAGTCGCGGCATCTTGGTTTCCGACCACCTGTCCAAGTTCTACACCATGCAGATCTCGGACCCTGTGACCAGGTACTGCCGGATGCAGTAGGGGATGCGCAGTGTGGCGCAGTCCCAGGACGAGACACGCTTCTCCTGACCGTCGGTTTGCAGACCTTCGTAGAAAGAGCGATCCACATGCGCCAGTGCTGGGCCATCCTATTCTTCGACCTGGCCAAAGCCTTTGACAGCGTCATCTGGGAGTACCTCTACGGAGCAGGCCACCGACAATTACACGTACTTGCGGATCAGCTGCATGATCTAGGCATCCCGCGTGACGTGGCCGACGAGACCCAACGCTACCTGCAGAACATCCCCTCGCTCCTCCGAGCAGCGGGCATGGACGAGCACGCCAACGCAAGGGTTGCTGACATCCACTCCGGTACGTGGTTCCAGGTGCGAGGTGAACCAGGCCCTGTGGATGCC